ATTTAACTCTTTCAGTGCAGTGTTGCTCTCAGGGAGTAACTTTGCTTTCACTGGCGAGTACACTGTTACTCTCCGTGAGTAACTTGATATATAATATTTATTTTGCTATCTTTTTAATATTTCTTATTTTTTATTTCTGTTTTATTTTTGGATTTGAGAGTGATTGTTCTTTGTTTTTTTATTGTAAATTGTATGCAGGACCAACATGCTTTAAAAAAAAAAAAAGAAAGCATTGTGTTAGTGGTTCCTCTTTTTTAGTTTAATTTGCGGGACCTGAAAAATGTAAATAATACAAAGGCCAAGTGTATTTGTTAATCTTTTATGAAACTTAAAGTGATAAAAAGTGTTTAGTTTTGTGATTTTTCAATATTTTTTAGTTTAAACGTATAATTTTAAGGTTACATCCCTCAGTATATAGATTTCCAAATCAAGTTCTTATATATTTTCTTTTTTTGTACTCAGTTTAAAAGTTAATTAGAAAAATATTCTCTTGAATAATTTATTTGATTTATTACACTTCTGTAGCCAATTCATTTTCCTTTAAAATAAAATAAAATAAAAAAAACTAGTTAGTTAAAAATTCTACCTCCCTTCCAAATTTGTGTTCATTCCTAAAAACTGCTTTTTTTTTTCTATCAATACAATACACACTGAAAGAGTTAAATTCAGGTCAACTTTATCCTGTTTCATTTGAATGCCTTGTGTTTTCTTTGGTTTAACCTTATCCTGTGTACTTCAAACAGGGTCTCTGGTTGTACCATCTTTATATCCAGCTGGATTTGCACTGGACCAACATCAAGTTGGATGATATCACTAAATCAAAGGAGGAACCCAGTAAGTTTTATTAAGTTAATGTAATATTGGTCATAATGGTTTGTTACAAAACTTTCCATTTTAGTTCTTTATTGGCTGCTTAGCTGTGTTTCCCAAATTTTTTTCCTTAACAGAACCCTTCACACATTTGAGTATTTAACAGAACACTTGGCTTATTTTTTAGAGTGATTATTTCACATGGTGTAAAAAAGTTCCCCTTTTTGACCTTGTGGTCTAAAGGGCAGATGATATAAAGGTCATCTATTTCATGGTGGTCTACTTGTTAATTATTCCAGTAGTAGTTCGTGGAACATCTATTCAGGGTTCCATGGAACTCAGTTTTGGAAACACTGCTGTAGAGAATTAGTTCAAAGAAATCAAAGTAAATTTTAAGGAAAAACTTTGGTCTGCTAGTGCTGCTATTATGTTTGATCTAATTGAAACTATTTTTATTTGTATATGAATGCTACAAACTAAAAAATCTTTTTTTCTGAGCTTAAAAATTTAATAAATTAAAATATTTCTATGACTTAATGTGCCTAAAGCGGATTCTTGGCTAGGTGGAATTTATAGTTTTAATTAAACTTAACATTGTTAAATTATTTTTTTTTGTATAACTTCATGTCATTTTAACCATACTTCACTCACAGCCTAACTGTCCTCTTTACATACGTTCCTGAGGGACATGCCTCTCTTTTCTTACTTTCAATCTAGCTTTAGATTTAAGGAAGCTCAATATTTTCTTATCACTCAAACTCTCTGTACATATTAATTGAACTAAAAACTTTGTTTCATTATTTAAGAGTCTTGATCACACAAATATCAATCGACATTGTGAATTTTCATAAATTTTTTATGTCAAACGACACTAAGGGTATATTACTATAACACAGAAGGCAGACATTTGCAATTTTCAAAGATTGCTTAATTATTATTGCTTGGTAATTTTTAAATTGATACATATTTTAAAATTAAATTTCAAGAATCATTAAAAGTTATAGCATCATTTTGGGACCTACCCAAAAAATAAGTACTGTGCTCTGGTAGAGTTAAGTGTCAGACTACTAAGGGAAGAGTCACATAAAAAGATGCACCCTTAGTACACATCTGTGAAATGAGCCTTTAGTACAAGTACACAGCTGTGAAATGAGCCTTTAGTAAAAGTACACAGCTGTGAAATAAGCCCTTATTTTCACAGCTGTGAAATGAGCCCTTATTTACACAGCTGTGAAATGAGCCCTTATTTACACAGCCATGAAATGAGCCCTTAGTACACATTTGTGAAATGAGCCCTTAGTATACCACTGTGAAATGAGCCCTTATTACACAGCTGTGAAACAAGACATTGTTTTACAGCTGTGAATTTTTTTTTTAAGACTCAAGTATAATGATACATTTTTCTCTCCAGATTATTTACCCCAGGAGTGGACGTGGGTCAGCTGGGCTATTACTGGTTTTCCATTTATTGGGATTCTGCTTGGAGCCATTCATGCATGTTTCTCTGCATGTAAAGATTCATCTCAGGTAGGAAGCACTGCCTTAGTGGTCATATGTATGGTCACACTTAACCATACTGAAAACATTTTTTTAAATATAAGAAACTGTTAAAAAGTTTAGAACTCCTGCGTGTATGTGAGGGTTAACATCTAAATTACTTAGTTTGTTGATCATTAAATGTGGCTGTATGGGGTGTTGAAAGCCGAGAAGAAATCTGCCTTGAGAACTCAAGCATAAGATTAAGGTGTAGCGAGATGCTTTAAAGCTGGTCCAAAAGCAATAAGATTGCATCCTCATTTCCCCTGGCTGCTTTACATGCAAACTAGTAAGGGTCTAGGCTTTTAATAACCATTGTTACAAGCTGTTTAAACACATATTTTTCAAAACATTTCATGAGTGTTTGAGCTACTGGGCGATAATCATTGAATCTAACTATTTTTAGTTTCTTGGGTACTGATACGATTTCTGAAGTTTTCCAGATTTCGGAATTAAGCACGTTTGTAGGGCGTAGTCAAAGATGTAAGAGAAGATAAAAGAGATTTGTTCCGCTTATAACTTAATCAGCTTGCCGCTTATTTTATTGGGCCCAAGTACCTTTCATTACATTTACCTCATCTTCGGTTATTTTATTGACGTACGCAGAACTTCTTAGCAAATACTGCAAAAGCCCTTACAGATCAGAAGAAAAAAACAATTTGTCTATATTTTTCAATACTTTCCATACTAATTATAACATTGCTAGCATTTTAAAGATTTCTGCACCCTATTTACTAAGTTACTACTTCTTTTTATTTATTTATTTACAGAAATGTCGCAAACTTTGCTGTGGCATGACTGAAAGAATAAGAGAACAGAATGGAGATGACTTCTCCCCGCCTCCCCTTCACCCTTCAGAGCCGAGTGCCCCTCCGTACATGTACAGCTATATTGATCGCTCTATGAATGGCACCCACCGTCATGAAGACTATGACTTGGACCACTATAAACTAGACTATGACCCACCTGAGACAGAACCTTTGACCCGAAATAATCGATCGACAAGGATATAGCTTGTTGCATATGTTTCTCTCATATATCTCATTGTTTTGTCATCTCTTCAGTCAAAATATTTTCATATAACTTCTCATCACACCAACTCTAGTCATTGCAACACGGAGTCAAATTATTCATCACTTATAATAAAATATTCACCCTATTGTATGACCAATCTTAATCTATGAAGAGATAGACATAGAGAGAAAACATATATATTTATAAAATTTTTATCTATGTAGTTTATTAATGACAAGAAATATTGTAGATAATTTCTATTAGAAAATCGTTGGTGCAATGATTATACTAACCATTATTGTAAATAATGTTTGTTTGTTTTTTGGTTACATTGTTGGTGTCATTTGTAGAACACACTTGTTTATTTTTGTTTGCATGTACCTTCCCCTCGATTCTATGAGCTGATCCACAAGTTGACTATGTCATTTAGGAAGTAATGTCAATTGTCACATTTAAATTTTGACTGTTTGATTTTGTGACACCTTATCTTCAAGGACATGGTTTCAATCAAACTAGTAGAAGTGTTTATGAAAACTTTATGGTTGGATATTGTGTCTGAAGCTCATAATATGTTTATTTTAACCATTCTTATTTTGTAAGAGATTATACTCTTGTGTGTAGGGATTTGAACTGAGGACAGTGGGTACATTTTGTATACTATTTATTGTCATGTGATAAAACAGGAATTCCACAAACCATCAGCTGGTTATTTATTGCAGCGAGTCATAACTGCATCAGTTGAAGACTTTTATCTCAGCTGTTGTCATGACTATTTCTTATCCAAGTTGATTCTGTCCTAAACCTTAAGACTGAAGTTCATTCTAGCCAGATCTTCAGATCAGGACATATTTTGAAGAGACCATGCTAGTAGTAGAGGTCTTCAAATACTGTTCTGGACCTGAACACCACATGACATTAGTAAGGCAGCAATTCTCAAAGTAATCAATCAGTCAGGATTATCTTCCTGGTGGTCCATGAGCAAAATGTTTACATAGTGGGTCATTGGTAAAATTTCTAATGGTGATCTTGCTTCTGGGGGGCACAGGATCTGGCAGTGGTGTTTTTAATTCTTAAAGATTGATTGTAGTTTGTTTTTTTAATTTAGCAGAGCTCGTAAATTAATGTTTACACTATTAGAATTAGCATTAGATGCTTTGGATAAATGACAAACTCTTCTGCGTTAGATACTTTGGATCAATGACTAACTCTTCTATTTGATCTTTAGACTTCCTAAACCTGTAGAAGTTCAATGATGTACTGGCTGTGTAAGAACTAGGACCATATGTGGTTGTAGTAGATTGGCAAACATTTATTCATTGTGGGAAAGTTTAGACAAATAGAAATAATGCAAAGCGCCGATTGGCTGAATGTTCTACAGCAAAACTGAGATAACATTGCCACTACTCAGAAGTCCTTCTTCAGTATTCTCATGAAATGCAGACTTTGATCTCACTTTTGTTATTGCGTTTCTCACTCTGTTTCTTTTTCTTAGAGTTTTTTTCTTGCTGTCTGTAGTTTGTCTCGAGGGCCATCATGTGGTAATAGCAGCAGCTGTCTGTATGTCCTGTGCACATGACACTGCCAGTAGAGTGGAGCTTCACGACTGCCTCATAAGTTCAGGGGAGGGGGAGACAGAACTTGATTTTGAAACAACAACAGCCTGTGATTTTTTTTTTAAAGACATTTTTTTGTTTCATTTTGTTTGGTAAGAAACAAAAGCCACACTTTTGAGCTCAAATTTGTTCTAAATGATCCATTTATTTATAGTGCCACTTTGATTGAAACATTTATTTATTGCTTGTGTTTATTCTGAATGTCTGTTCAACAGGAATTCTGTGCTTGTGTGTGTTCTAATCTGGGGGCATGATGTTCGAGTAGTTCAGTGCTTGGCCTCTAAAAACAGGATCATGAGTTCAAAAATCTCATATGAGGGCTGGGAATGTTTTAATTCAGGACTTTGGGGAGTCCATGAGACAGACTAGCTGTATAGGGTACCCGCCTTTATTTGAGGATAGTAAAGGCATGATCTGTCTACATGATCACCTCCCCAATGAAGCATTGCTACAGAATCAGATGAGCTTTAAATCTCTCTGTACTGGTACCAAAGACTTCTAAGTCATAAAGGCTTGATTTTATATTCTCACTTTATTAAAACACGTAACTTTGAATGTGATATTTCAGCATTATATATCTGTAACTAATGACTCTGTTTCACAAACGATTGTAACACTTTCAAAACAAAAGCACCATTAAGTCAAAACTTGCAAAGTAGTGAATAAACTGAATGTAAACAGTCCTAGTAGGTCATTGGTCTTGGTCAGTGGTGGAGGTATTCTTTGGGTACTGTGGACTACAACCTTTGGCATTGCTCTACAACTTGTATTCATAGCTACACAATAAATATTTATTCTCGCCTGCAGTATTTTAATGACCTAGGTCTTCCTTGGGGTATCTCAGGCTCTGAGCTTCCTTGGGGTATGTCAGGCTCTGAGCTTCCTTGGGGTATGTCAGGCTCTGAGCTTCCTTGGGGTATGTCATGCTCTGAGCTTCCTTGGGGTATGTCAGGCTCTGAGCTTCCTTGGAGTATGTCAGGCTCTGAGCTTCCTTGGGTGGATAAATACAGGACCGTGTATAAGAAGAAAAGTTTGCTGTTTTTCCAAAGCCAAGACTAGAATCAAAATGCTCAGCAGAAAAAATTGTGGCTAGAAGAAAAAGGAATATCTCCATTTATAATCAAGAGTTTATTGACCACTTTATATATATAAGTTGTTAAAGCTGCATAGTTCAGTATGTTGAATGGATTGTTTCTATAGCTAGCTCATAGTGTGGCTTTCATATAACCAGGTTTGATGTCTGCTCCAAAGTGATTTTTTTTTCTTTAACTGCTATGTGTATACATGATTTTATAGCTATTTTATCTTGACTGTCATTCCATTAAATTTTTTTTTTTTGTTATAGCTGCCTCATTTTATGTTTACACAAATTTGTGTACAAGTTTTACATTTTGTATTTCTTCATCAATATCCTTGGGCTAAATTGTGTTTTGTTTAGTTGTTACTTTGCATATGTAAAGGCAAACTAGCTTCTTCATAGAAATATAATGTATTCATGTCTTTGATTGTAACATGGGTGGGGGGGAGAGAATCACTAGAGTTGAAAAGAAATTGAACAGTCTCCAGACAAGACACTCTGAGCCCCCTTTTAATAGAAAGGTTTTAGTGTGCGCAATCTGGGGTAGGTGAGAATAAAATTTATATATGCCTGTTTTTTTGTTCTATCATTACTTCTGGAGACCATGGCCACCTTAAAGTCAGCAATAATAAGTTGTCGGCCATTCTCCATCCCCATGGTAGCTAAATTATAATTTATAGCGGAGTGAGTTATTTGACATTAGGACTATTTGATATTAACTCTAGATGTTGAAATAGCTCTTTCTGTTATGGTCCATTGTTAAAGACTAAACAATTTCATGTGTAATTCTTCAACTAACATTCCTCTTTGCCATTCTTTGTCTCATATTTGTCAACCATTTTGTTTTAGCTTTTGAGACTTTTAGTATCTTACTCTTTCCTTATGTCTACACCTTTGATGGCTGCAGTGTTCTGCCGTTTTGATGGCTGCAGTGTACTGCCGTTTTGATGGCTGCTGTGTACTCTACTCTTTATCTTCCTTAAATTTATTTTCTGTTGCCTCGTTTTAGCTTGTGAGATTTTTAAAAAAAAGTTTTTTTAAGGAAATTTTTTTTATGCATTGTTTTAAACTTTATGTTTCATGATTAAAAATTGTAATCATGTCATGTCAATCCCTCTGGCAGAGAAACCAAATTATTATTATTATATCAGAAGAGAGACATTTACAAATAGATATATATTTGTGAGCCTCTTAAATGTTTTTTAATGCTATTTTATTGTGTATGTTTTTTCAACTTGTGTTCCTTCTGTTTAGAAAAGTTGTGTGTGTTTTTCTATGTAACTGATGATATACTCTTTTAGTTCATCTCTAACCATTTTCCTTTTTGTAATGAAGTGATTTTTTTTTGTTTGTTTAATCTTCCACAATGGACACATTTTAAAGTAACACCATTAGGTCACAATGTACTTTGTACAAAGCATTTTGAAGTATTTCATTCAGCATTGGATCCAGTCCTAGAACACATTCTCATGTTTGCACTCATGGGGAATAATCCTTTTCTTGTCATTGATTGATGTAATCATGTCTGTTTATATATTATGGGTATAGGTTAAGTCTTCAGTTTCCGTCTATCTATAGACATATTTGACTATTTTGAAATAAATGGCACTCTTTCCAAAGACATTTGTACATATATTCTCACAGAAATAAAGGGAAACGTGGGAAAACATATGTTTGAGCACATCTTTGACTTACCAGTACTTTCCTTATTACTGTATTTTTGTTCTATTTCTACTTTTTAAATACTAAAATAAGTCAATGCTGAAATAAAAAATTTGTGCCATTAAAATGTTGGACACCAGCTATATTGTAAAGCATTGAACTCCCAAATGGAAGTTTATTTAGTAGATTTATTAATTTTTTTAGGGAGAGCTCCTGCTAGATGTCCACAGCTAGAATAGTTTATTTTGAGACTGAAAAGGTTATTTCATCTAGGGAACTTCCTTTTGCTTAAAATATTTTCACACTTTGAAAGAATAGCAAAACTTTTCAATTATTTAATTCAATTTTTCTGATTTTATATACCCTGTACCCTTTGTTAACTTCCTTTGGTATTTGTGGAGTCATCTGCTGGTCTGTTTGCTAATGAATCAATCTCATAATTCAATCTATAGGTCAGTGTTTTTTCCTAAAGATTTGTAGAAAGTTAGATCAAACACACCTAAACATGGCAGCCAGCTAAGACTTGTGGAAATCGACACAAGTCAATTTTTTTGTGTCTATTTTGTATGTGAATTGAAGATTGCTTTTACTTAGAAATGTCTTTTTAAAATACTCTATATTCTTATCATTCATGACGTCCTGCCTCTAACCAGACAAATGACTAACAAGAAGTAACAGTACTAAAGTCAGAAGTGTGCAGGTCTCAGCCCACATGTTTGTTTGGTCATGTTTTCATTCATGTCTAAATTAACCTTCTCAAGTCAATCTGTTACATGCAGCCATTGTAAGATCACTTTGTATACAAGTTTCTTAAATCAAAATATTTCATTCATGCTAATACTACAATCAAGTATGGTTATTACTTTTGTTATTAGAAAACATTCTGAAGTATTGAGTAGCCAGCACAATGACTACCTCTATTTCATTTATCTTTCAACTTATGTTTGTTATTGAGTTTTAGAGACATCCATTGATTTTACTTAGTACAGTTTGTTGAACTTAATGATTAGAGACTCATTTTGCACAAGCTAAATTTGAGAAATATAATCGTGTAGTTTAATACACTTTGGGTTAGGATTTTTAATTTCTTAAAAGTTCATAATAATTATACAAGTCAGTGATATAAGATCTTCCCTTTTTTAAAAATAATAGAAGCCAATCTATGTTTCCTGTATCCTGAAGAATCTGTTCCACATTACTAGTGAATCGGTAGTTTGTAATCATAGAGATTGACAAATATAATTCTATAATTTTTTTCTATTAGTAAATGTCATCTTATATATGAACACTAAGAATATGGAGTAGGACCAAGTCTAGTTACCGGTAGTTACAACTATACAAATGTGATTTTTTGTTATCATTTATATAAGAAAACCACTACCTTGAAGTGTAAAAAATATTAATTTAGTCAATAAATCTAAATGAGACGACAAGAAACATCAATAGATCATATTCTGTTCTCCCTGAAAAAATACATATGTAGTTGACCTAATCTGGGTTTATTTCTTAAAGAAAAATGGTGTTGACATCAAGTTTTTTTAAAATCTGTTCTGCTGTTCATTTAAAAAAAACAACAACTAAGTTCAATAAGAACTGGGGAGAGACTAAGTCTAGTAAAAAGAATTAGCTTCTCAAAATATGAATTAATTATTTGGTCATGTTCCCCTTTTTTTTCTGTTGTAACCTCTGACCCCCCCCCCCCCCCCCCAATGTGTAACAAGTTTGTACACCACACATTTGTGTCATTGTGAAACATTTTTTTTACAGAAATAAATTGTAAACTTGAATGTTGATTGTGTGTAGCATCTTGTTCTTTTTGTGAACCAAGTCTTCAGTCTGTGTGTACGACATGGCCTAAATTGTGCCGATGTGCCTAAAATCAAAATCAAATCAATCTGTGTGTGGGGGTTCTTGATGAGAGAGACACAGTGTTTAATTAACTCACCCCTTCTCGGTGGCACTTTTAGGGAGTATGATTAATAAGCCTGAATTATTTGATGCACTCCCCTTATCTTAACTTGTAACATAATTACTTCTTATCATAGGTCATCTAGGGGGTTGGGAATTGCTAGCCTATCCCACTTCATTTGTCATTCAGGGACCATTCGTGGCGGAGTTGAAGATAAAAATAATATTTAAAACATCTGTGATAAATGGAAGCAAAATTAATTCATTTCACAGTTGATATTTTGAAACACTGTACTCTAGCACATGATCATTTAAAGGTTAAATTTATAGTTTTATGGTTATAACAATCAACACTGGACAAGAAAATAAACACCATCTGCATTATACATTTTCTTTTTAAATATCAAGTAATTCAATCCAGTCAAAAATCAAGTATAATGTCTTGCAGCAGTAGACATCAATGTCAGATATATGGGACAAATATTTCATACATTTATGAACTAAATGATTCACTTCTGTCACATTTTCAAAACATGAGAGCAAGAAACCAACATGAGACTTTTGCTCTTGAGACAAGATAGATTGATTACTAGTCTAACTTGAAAAAATAAAATTCTGTAAAAAAAACAAGAGACTACTTTTATCATTTGAATAACATCATCTTGTGTTGGAAGTTTTCTAAATAAATAAATGTGAAACTTGTAATTAGAATGCTTGTATTTACACCCAGGTGTATCAGTTTATATTAAATATTGATATTAGTGCTGGTCACGCAATGAAGATGGTAGACATCATACAACTGGTTTGTCAATCCTAGTTTTTCAGTCAAGATATTAATGGCATTGAAGAGTGCAGTGTTTCACATGACTAAGCAAAGATATTATTACTTGAGGCTAAATTTTAAGAGTTTTGTGAGCCTGGGAGTGGTTCTTTACTTTGCAATATAAAAAACTTTTTGACTCTGTAAAGGGCACACTCAGCAAAGGTGATTTTTTAATTTAGATTTGTATCATCACTATTACAATGATGCCATCATAGATACATTATAAAGGGGCATTTGTTCAATGTTATACATGTACAGTGAGAATAAAATTTCCATTAGTAAAATTTATTAAGATTGACACTTAGAACAATCAATGAAATATCACCCATTTTAAGTTGATTCCCCACAGACTAAAATAGCTGATTGTTTATGTCTTTGTCCATCCATATGTAC